TGCGCGCCGGGTCCTGCCCACTGCGGAGCGAGCGGAGCCGCCGGCGCCTCCCGCAGCGGCTTCTTGCTGCCTCCAGCTCTGCTCTTTAGGAGTTTAAGGGGGGTTCGGGAGAGGACGGAAGTGCTGAAGGTCTCTAGGACGGCAGTTGAAGACGGCACCTGAATGGCAGTGGTGCCCGTGCCTTCGTGATGCAGCGAAGGTGGCAGCCTGTGCGCCCTGACCCTGCTCACACTGTCCTCTTCATGGGCGAGGCCAGACTGCAGATTTTGCCCGCAGACGTCTTGCTACCATACTAGAGGTGCTGCTGTCCCACCCTTTACTTCAGGGAATGGGGCCTCTGGGGAGGATGGGTGGTTTAATGGGCTTTCTGATCTCTTCCAGGATCTCTAAACTGGGTCCCTGTGACTACAGAACACATGGAGAGACGTGGCCTTTCCGCAGGCCAACGTGCCAGATTGTGGTAACGTGCTTGATTTTCTGCTTCCCGGAACTTAACCTCAAATTACCTTTCAAAGGGACAGAACTCGTTACTGGGGTATGATTCAATCCTGTATGGTTTGTATTTTTTACTTTTAAAGGTGTAGAACATGGATATGATGGTGGGCCACAGAAACAGTTCCCAAGAGACTATAATATCACAACCAAAAAGCTCGCAAACATAGTAAAATCAGATTCAATTCACTTTTATTATGAACAAGCACATCTCAAGTAAGTAGAAATAGCTTCAGTTGATTAACAGAACTTACAGAATTATTCTTAGGTTACAAATAACTAATACATCATAAAAAGGGGAAAATGCCACCCAAGGAAGGAAAAGGTATCCTGCATGTTTTCATAGCAACAATACGCATCCTCAAATTTTGTCTGGCTAATTATCCAACACTCATCAAATGCACTAATCTCTCAAGTGGATGGTATGGAATACTGGTGCCATTCCACACTTAGGTATATGTTAAGTCCATGGTACACACTGCTATAATAAAAATACATAGGACTTGAGAATTGCCCTGAAGATTTTAAAACTTTATTAAAAGCATTAGTCACACCTGAAACCTAAAAGGATGGTCAGCATCGTTACCTCATAACAGAAGGAATAGTGAGACACAGTATAATAAAATGATTATATATCCAGTGCTGTGGTCTGAATGTATCCCATAAAATTCAAGAGTTAAAAACCATATCTCCAATGCAGTATTACTGAGAGATGAGACTATTAAGAAATGATTAGGTCGAGGGCTCTACCATCATTAATGTAGGACTTACGACTGTTATCTATACAAAGAAAATATGCAGGATAATAGCCAACCTTGGAGGAACACTTCCATTTTAAACGTTACAATCATCATTTAATCTAAAAATATAAATCAAATATGTTCAAATTACTTCCACCCTCCATCAAATGTGAGCACTTAATAAAAACAGCCCAAAGAAAAGTTTCCAAAATTAAGCCCATACTTGAATCCTCAAGCCAGGCCAGTTTTTATATTTGCCACTGCTGGGGGCTCAAAGGTACTAAGGGACTTCACAGAGGCATTAAAGTAAGAGTCATATTCAACATGGAATAGAAAAGAGGTAAGGCACTCAAGTAAGTTGTCAGCAGTCCACGAGGTGAGGACTGTTAGAAATTCATTCTTTATCAGATCTGAGTTTCTTATTAATGTCACTTGAATTAAGCTTTAGAATCTTGAATGGTGCGTTTCTTATTGACCTGACAAACCTTTATGTTCAGATCAGTGTATTCCCTGGGGCCTGCAGCTTAAGGTCTGTGGCTAGGCTTCTTATCGGGAAATGAATGGAATAGGATTCAATAAGAAGAGAAAGTTAAATTTATTTTTCATGGATTATAAAGCAGGCATCTGATGACCTATGGAATTAACACTTATGCAACAGGCATTTGAAAGGGGTAGGCACCCAGGATAGCAGATCTCATCTACAGTGATCTTCCCAGAGATTCTTTTCTGAACAGCTCAAAGACAAGGCTGCCCTCATGCAGGATGGTCCCTAGAATCTCTATTCAATTAACACAGGAAGGAAGGCCCTGCTCCCCAACCACTGAGGCTCAATAGTAGACATAGATTTGGTATTGAACACTGCCAACCCTGATAGAGCAGAGACGGGCTTCTGCATTGATGCCTGAGTTAAAGGGACAAGAGAGGCCTATGATCTTCAAAATACTAATCACTAATGTACTGTATTTTCCCAGCTTCCTTTTTCCTACTGACTATCATGGATTATGTGGCATAAGATGCCACATTTTGTTTGGGATAGTGGCCTCTTTTTAATGTGAGGCACTTGGGAATTAGCCTCTGCTTCTTATGCTTCCTAAAGGATTAGGTTTCTCCCTCTTCATCTTCGTCATTGCACTGTCATCTGGGAGCATTGATTTGCCCGAATAGCTTTACTAAACACAAAGCAACACTGAACATGCTCTCTGTTCTGACCCAGGCAGAGAAACTGATGATAAACCTGCATTTTTCTGTGGTTGGTTCATTGGCACAATATTTGGCTTGGCCATAACTCGTGAAAGACAAGAGTCTCTTCGAGCTCAAGGTTTCTCTAGAGGGTTTGCCAAATTTGTCAAGATATCAATGTGCCAGTGACCCCAGGTATGGAAGTATAGAAGATGTGGAAACCACATAAAGGGATAGTCAGGCCATTGCTAACGGGACTTGGCAGTTCGGAGACAATTAGCATTTTGACTGTAGGAGAGGGAGCTGCCTGGACATCAAGTCCTCACTGCCTTGGATACAAACAGGAAGCTGCCTGTCCAGAGCAAAAAGAAAATATCAGGGAACAGAGAGAACCAATAAAGAGAACAGGGACAGATGGGATAGAGCCAGGAATCACGAATCAGGTTGGTTAAAGATTCCTACCCCATCACTCAGGCAGTCCTGCATGTAGGCTGGATGTGAGAAAGCAAAAAATGAGGGAAAGGTCATGACACTGTAGGAAGAAGCCTAGTTTCTACTCAATCCAAGGAGAAACTGGATTGAAAGGATCTATCCTCTAACTCATTTCACTAGAAGACCCAATAGCTTACTCAGTAACTTCTGAATCCCACTGCAATATGTTCTCAGAGCCCTCATTTTGGAAAGCTCCCATGGGATTGGCTATAGATGTTACCCCTCAATTTGTCCATTTCCTGCCCAGCACTGGGAGAAATAGTTACCCCAGATGAGGAATTCCTCCTCACCTTCATGTTTCTTTAACATTTCTTTTTCAGAGGGGAGCAATGTAAATAGTTTCATGAAAATTATATATGTATGTATATTTAACTTCCAAATTCACCTCCTAAAATCTTTCCATAGTTAGATGTACCTCCTCTTACTATAAGTGGAGTGACAAATATCCTGTGGATGGCACAGAAGAAAGATGACAGCATTGGATAAGCAATTCACAGAATCCTCAAAACTCCATGAGCTCCTGTACACTAATTCTGGACACCCTTCACCTAAAAACTTCTTATTCTATGAAATAAGAAATCTCCTTTTTACTAAAGAAAAACATCCTTCCCCAGCAAAAACTACTTTTCCTGCTTAGTAAATGCTTCTCCTTTGTTATCAGTGTCCTATATGAAGACACTGAGATATGCTATTGTATTCTAGGATCAGCAGGCTCAATAGCCATGCTCTACTCAGAGTCAGAGGGAAAGGAAGAAAGATGTGAGAAGAAACTCCATGTCTTGCTAATCAAGCAACCTTGAACTGACTACAGCAAGAGATTACCCTTGCCCAGTTTCCTAGCTCAACTCCCAACTTTACTTATTATCATGCATACCATTTTGCATAATGATTTACCAATTTTGCAAACTCCATCTCAAAGTTATTTTCTGTTTCATCTAGCAATGAATGGGCTGATAACAGTAAATAGGAACTTTGCAGCAAACTTTGTTGAATATCTTGAAGTTCAGGAGAGGTCAAGGAAGAAGAGTTATCTAGAGCAAAGGGCTTCACTTTTAGACTCTAGAAAGGTTGCCAGGGTTTGGAAGGTGGATACCAATTTATGGCTGACCATGGGAGGCCGTGAGAGTAAACAGAAAGGAAGGTAATAGAGACTAAGCAACAAAAAGGAAATTGGGAATGGAAGAGAAGAAAAGTCTATCAGCTAAGTAGCATAAAGTAGTTATAGCCTTTCAATGCTTGTACATTTTACAAGAATACTGTGCTGGAATGGATTAAGGTCATCACCTATACCACCTAGGAAGCATTACTCAGTAGTTAATTAACGAAACATTAAACAAGTACCCAGCTGACTTTTGGAAGAAGAACCTGGATTATTCAAAACTCAACCACTCTTGTAGCTTCCATCTCCAGTTCTTTTAATCTTGGCCAAGACAGCAGCCTTGGATGCTCTCTTCCGGTCATAAGCCAGACCAAGAGCAGCCATGCAATCAATGAAGAATGTGGTTAAGTTGATGTGCCAGCGGTACTCACTGGCAGAGTAGTCATAGGGGAAGGAGTGGTGATAGTTGTGGAAGCCCTCACCTGAAAAAAAGCAAAAACAAAAAGAAATGAGAGAGCAGTGTAGATGCAGTTTTCCTCACCTCTGCATACATCTTACCTGGCAGGGTACCTCAAACCTCACAACAAACCTGGTGTTGTTGAGTGAGTAGATAAACCCACCCTCTTCTACTCTGAAGCAAATACTGTAGATGCCGTGAGAGGTATTTTTAAGCATTGAGTTGATTCCTTGTCACCAGGTTGTCTGGAAGCCTTTGTGACAGAAAGTGATTCTCAGAGGATAAGAATAGAGAAAAGTTGTACTGCTGGGAATTAATCTTATCCTGGAAAATGCCAGAGTGTCAGCGAATACCAGCCTGAGACCCCACTGACTTTGTGTGTATTTGCCTGCGTTGCAGTAGTGTGGGAAAAGCAGAGTGTACAAGAAAAACTGTGGCTGCCCATACTACAAAGGAAAGTAAGCAGCAGACCTTTCCTTACTGTATGAATGCTCCGTGTAAAAGTGGGAGGTTCCAAGAGAAGGGATGGCAGCAGGCAAAAGTCAGAGGAAACGAAGCCCAGAGATGGGTAGAATCTCCACAGGCAATGCTGGTTCACCACTAGCTACTCTGGCTTCTAATTCTCTAAGCTTTGACCCTGGGACCAGCGTGCTAATAAAATAGAACTGCTCTGAGAATAGATTCCTTCTAACTTCAGAGATTCTGAAAAATGATGGGAGACTTTCACTTTGCTGGAGAGAAAAATAAAAGAAATTCTAGATCAAGACAATTTCCATAATGGGCAAACATTTGCCAAGTCTTGACAAGACTCTTTGTTCTGAATCTATTCCAATACAGAAGTCACTGACCCTTAACAGGTCAGGGTAAAGAACAGGTAGTAAGACAGGTTATTGGACACATGAGCGAAGAAACTCTCAGGCTAGAAATGAAATGAGTAAGATGTGAAAAGTCCTGCCAAAGAAATGACCAACCAGGGGTTCTCAAAGTATAAATCCCTCTAGACACTGAGTTGTCATGTTGAGAAATAAGAAGGGAGTGGGGCAGAAGTTGGTGCATGGATAATGCCAAGGCTAAGCTGATGACAGAAAATTACTAGCTTTCCAAGCAGGGTTTTACAGTTAAGCTCTAAGGGAGTGTTCAGTTTACCAGGCCTATATGTGTGGGTGTTAAAATTTAAAGACAAAGGGAGAGGAGGGTCACAAATAGCAATTGGGGCAGAAAGAGTCAGCCCAAGGAAGGCTAGAGCAATGCCAGATGTATGTGAGACAAATAAGCTTGTAGCTATGGTAGATAATTCAGGAACAAAGGGATTAGAACGGAAGCAAACAGAGCTGGAAAAGAGCAGAGGGCAAGGTGAGAGGGAAGAAATAGCAGATTTGGAGAAGTGAATGGTATCAGGGACAAAGTAGGAGGCTGGCATCTCACTGCAGTTCTGTTTATAATACAGCACATACATATCTCCATCTAGATTACTCCATTTCTCTGAAAATCTCAGATTTGTATAGTGTAGGTAATTTCTTTCACACTATGAATATGGACGATATGCAAGACACCTGAAGGGAGGAGAAAGATAACATGGAATATGAAAGAAATAGGAAAAATGCTTTTAAAAAATGATAATAAATATGACCCAGGTAAATGAGTATTAAGCAATGATTTGAATAAATCTGTGAACAGTATGATTGGCTAAGTGGTACTGGATGAATAACATTTCTGATCAATGCCAACAAGAGGCTCCTGGGTCTGTGTAAGAAAACTAACTTGAGGTCTTAGTCAAAGTCTGTATTCGTCTGGAAGGACAAAAAAGTGGACACAGATGGTAGAACCCCGATTTCTTTGATCTGGCAATTGGAGCTGAAATTATAGAATAAAATTCAAGGATAGTCAATATCAGATCAGTAAGCAGAATATTGTATGGCATGAAGCTGGGCATGGTGGTGCATACCTACAATGCCAGCTCTCTGGGAAGCTGAGTCAGGAAGCTCACAAGTTCACACCTACCCTGGGCAACTTAGCAAGGCCCTACCTCAGAATTTAAAACAAAAAGAAAAAAAACTTCAAAGCCTACAGATACAGCTCAGAGTGAATGTTCTCAGTTGAACTGCCAGTACTGTACCAAAAAAAGTATAGCATGTCCAATTTTTAAAAACTAATTTATAATTTTTCTACATTGTACACAGCATATTTAAATATAAAACAGTAGGCATCATTCCAGCTCTGCAGATGACCCTACTTTTTTTTTTTTTTTTTGGCACTGGGGATCAAACTCAGGACCTTAGGCTTACAAGGGAGGTGGTGGCACCACTGAGCTAAGTCCCCCACCCACTACTTTTTAATTTATGCATTCCCTGCTTCAAGCAGACTACAGCCCTGTCAGAGTTAACTAGAAAAAGGAAAATTCAAAAAAGCACAATATAGGTAAGCATTAGGAGATGTTGTTTACAACCTAAAGTAAAGTATTATTTTCCATTTTATATAAGAATTGATAGCTGCTGGGCTGGAGATTTAGTGAAAGGCCCTGAGGTTGATCCCTGGTACAAAAAAAAAAAAAAAAGGAATTGATAAAGGGCTTCAAAATATATTGCCCCACAGTTATACATTGAAAAACTGAGCTGCACATTGGTCATAAATACTGGTTTTTCTGGTTGTAAGGCATCTAGCCAAATACCCTAATCAGCAGGCATGCGATGCGATCTCACTATGGACAGCTGACTTACCTACAGCTCCTACTGAAACCAGAAGATTCTCCCGAGAGTTGATGTTCTTGTCATATGGGCGATATCCATAGAGGTGGGCAGCACTGTTCACCAGCCAGGTGGCATTGAGCACTAGGGTGTATCTCAGTAAGGTGGCAACATACAAGCTGTGTAGAAAACTCTCACCCCAGAAATACCAGGGGACCACTGTGGGCAGGATGAAGCACAGCAACAGGAGACCGGGTATATAATACCTATATTGAGAAAGCACACACTGAGTCTGGAGAAAGGCCTCTCACACAAACCTGATTTTCCATTTTCACTGGCCAGGACTATATTTTTCCTCCTACACTATGAATGTAGGGGACAGAAACTAGCATCATAGAATAGAGTAGAAAGTTTTTGAGCATAATGTTATTATCTCACTCTGCACATGAGGCAGCGTGGACACATCAAGTTACTTAAGGGTTACTCCATTAGGAAACAGTGCAGCAAGGATTTGGACATCTGTTTCCTGACATGAAATCCAAAGTTCCTTTTCATGATACTACAAGGCCAGGACAGTTAAATAGCCAAAGGTCAAATCACAAATTCATAAGCAGAATTCTGCACCCAGGCTACTGTTTATATCTGCCTTTTGCCTCCTTTAACTTGCCCACCTTGGCCACTGGCAAAGGGGTTAAGTGTGGTGCCTGCATTTCCTACTACCACCCCATAATCCTTTGCTTCACTTCCCCTTAGGAGGTACTCTGAGTGTTCTCAGTCACCTAAAGGTCTCAGACCAGGCCACTGACATTCCAAGGCCTGCATGCCTTCAGCAGTCATCCCTTCTACTTTTATGTCCTTCACATTGCCTGTGTCCAACTCCTTTTCATTCCTGCTTCCACTGCTTCCCCAACCTGGGCCCTTCCTAACTTCTTCCTGTGACACTGCCCCTCATCTCTGGTTCCTTAGTTCCTTCCCTGTCCTGCAGCTCACCTGTGGCTGTGCACATTGCTTCTGAAGAAACAGTCAGTGGCTGCCTTTAGCCAAAGGAATCACATGGTAGTCTGTGACTCTCCGTGACACCTTCAGTCACTGTAGAAGTCCTTTTTCCTGTAGCCCCTATACTTAATAGAAGAGCCATGTTTCTGAAACCTACTTCAGGCTTTAGTTCACCTTTTTTTTCTATTTGCAGTATCCTGGCTCACCAAAATTATAAAATTCAATCACTATATAGATTATTTATATTCCTTCCCTAGAGTTCCCCACCAAGCAAGATTCCACCTCCTTATCCCTTGTCACTACAGAATATATGCTGCCTTGTATCATGACTATTTGGGCACTTGGCTTATCTTTCCCCCTCCCAAGAGGTTTCATAATTCTTGAAGGTAAAACTCAGCTGCATTCATTTTAGGGTCTCTTATTGATCCGGTCAATAAACATTCATTTGCAATGAATTCATTTCAATAAAATAACTCATAGCAAAAGAGTGTTAATTTATGTCCATGGACCTGTGATTAAAATTGGAATTTTAAATGATGATCTGAACATGCAAACCCATAAACTTTTTCTGCTTTTATTTTATGATTTGTAAGAGAAAAGACTGAGTCTGTGCACTCCAGATGTCCAGAACTACATCCTTATCTCCATTCTGCCTTCACTCACCTCCTCTGGAACATCACCAGTTTCTCAGCTTTTAGATCAGACATGTCGAGCAACTTGCCCTTCTCTTTGACGGCTGGGTGTTTGCGCACAAGCAGCCAACCCACGTGAGAGAAGAAAAAGCCACGTCTGGAATTGTGAGGGTCAGCATGTGTTTCTGAGAACTTGTGGTGGGCACGATGGTCTCGGGCCCATTCATACACATCATTCTGGAGGACAAAGAAAAGGAATACGGGCCTGAAGAGAGATGACCTTCTACGCAAATTCAGTGCCCAGATGTCTGAAAAGGCTCAGGGCTCTCAGCCCAACCCTCACCTAGTCCCCAGGAGTCGGGCTCCAAAGGAGGCATGGAAGAATCACGCTCTTTTGCATATTTGCCCCAAAGTTTCTGTGGAAAAGACCTTTATAAACACAGAGCATAGAAACAGCACTGGTGTGTCCTAAAGGCGATGTCTGGGAAGAATGGAGGTAAATCCCAGCACGGTGATGTCATTAGGAAGGAACACCTGATCTTTGGGCATAGAGAATATGAGGCAAGTGCATCAGGTCCTAGGGTGTTGCTGTGTGGCTAAAGCTATGGGGAACTCTATATCCTGATACCTCCCCAAATGACAGCTCACTCAACCCAGTAAAAAGTCCTCAGAAAACTCATGATCATGATCATGACCATGTTTCCAGAGGACTTCTAGGCTTTTCTGGCACTCTTCTCATCCCTTTAAAAAAATGTATCTGTGTCTCTGGTACTTTCCTTGGACTCACAAGGATACTATCAGGATTCTCAGGTTTTAACTTGCTACAGCAGAGATTATTATACAAAGGAGTTAAGCACCCTAGATATTGCAAAGACAAGGAAATTAATTTTGTTTCCTGTTCTCTTGCTCAAGCTAAGCCCCACAGCACAAGCTCTCCTGTGCCAATTTCCAGAGTCTAAGAGTCACCTTCCTAGTTCCCTTTATTCTGTCTCTTATAAACATGTTGTCTGATCCAACCTTGGTACCTGAGTTAACAAGCACAGCAACCCCAGACAAGATCACAAAGTTTTCTACCCAACACTTCAATAACCCAGTTTCCTCTTCTATAAAAACAGAACTAAATGAGTTCATCTATGCCAAATGTTTAGTACAGTGCCCAGCACATAGTCAATGCTATAGAAATAATTGCTTTTATTATCTGACATCAGAGGCCATGAGTCTGTAACATATCATCTTCTATCCTGTTGCCATAGGGCCTAAGGGAGTCATAAAGTATGAGTTTAGTGCCACTGACTGCCCACAAAGCTAGGGTCAATGACTGGCTTAGCACCACGATCCCTCATGATGAAAAATCACAACAGTCACACTGCATTATAACATAGGGACCTTGGGATCAGAAATGACCCCATATCAGAAGCCCTTGTCCCATTTACCTGTGTTCTATCCTAGTGAATCTAAAGTACTCCATGCTTGGTGAACCTCAACACTGATCCTGTACTTATGTGACCACAGGAGAATGGAAAAGCCAATGGCCTTCCTGCTAGAGCTCTCTGGACGCAGGTCTCATCCATTCCTCCCTGGATCATCAGTTGGGTAAAGACAGGAAAACCAAGCAGTGCCAGCTCCTTACCTGGAATGCCATTGTGTTGGCAATGATCAAGAAGATCTTCAGGGGCAGCCGCGCTTTATAAGTTCGGTGGCTCCATAGGCGATGAGCTCCTGCTGTGATGCCCAGTCCGCTCACTATATAGTACAGGGCGGCTGCCAGGACAAGATAGTGAGTCACAAATATGCAACTTCAATCAAGGGATACACTCCTGGTGTCAGTGTGTGTCTTCTTTAGTATCTGATTGACGGTATACTTTCCCTGGACACTCACAATGAGTTCATTTCTGAGGCCTCCTAACTTTTACCACTGGAGTTAGGCAGACAGGAGAACAAATAGGGCTCTCACCACCATGCCACTTATTGTCCCAGCCTATAGGGGCTTTATCCCATGTCCTGTCTCTCCTTTGACCTTCAGCTAACCTTCTCTAAAGTATTCAGTGCCACAAATAACTCCTAGAGACCTCAGGACCCATAAGCACAGGTGTTCTGACAATAGCAGTCAGCAATTTTGGCACTGGCCAATTAGAGGAGCCCTAAATTGTAGGGGATGCTCCCAGGGTATACAGCTGTGGCTATTCATCAGCTGGCAAAAAAAAAAAAAAAAAAATTCAATATTCCATCAGGGAGTGTAGCTAGATTAGGGAACATAAGCCCGGCACACAGTGGCTCAAGCTTTAACAGTAATGTAAGTATATTTTCATATGCATAACTTGATTGGACCATGTGCTAATAATACCATACACTATAGCTGAGAAAATATATTCTGAGAAAGATTAAGCATTTATCCAAACTCACAGGGCTAATAAAACTGCAGCCTTCAGCCAGGCATGGTGGCGCATGCCTATAAACCCAGCATGCGGGAGGCTGAAGCAGGAGGATCACTGTGAGTTCAAGGCCAGCCTGGGCTACATAATGAGTTCAAGCCCAGCCTGAACTACATAGTGAGGCCCTGTCTCAAAAAAGAAAAAGAAAAAAGGAAACCTGCAGCTCTGGTTTTCAGTCACCAAGTTCTTGTTTCAGCTTTGTCATCCACCTCACATGACCTGTGTCCAGTTCCCAGGTCTCTCCACTGCAATATCTGTCAGTCCAGACTCTGACCATCAATGCTAATTCTAGGTAATTTTGGGAGAGAGTCAGAACTGGCAGAACAGTGAAACATTATCCTGTCTGTCTCACCATTCTCTAGGTCTGCAGGCTCATATGATGTTTAGTGGAGAAAGGGGTGTTGAGTATACACCTATTTTTTCCTATGGTCAGCAGCTCTGGGAAACAAGAACTGAGGCCTTATTAGAAACTGTTAATAACGTGTCTTTCCTAGCAGACAGCTGGAAACCCATTATGGATTCTCAGATCTTAGTTACATCTGGAGATACCACATATTTTAACAACTACCTTGTTTTTCTACGGCCAAAGATAATACTTTACTAAATAGCATCCTCTTCTCCTCTTCCCTCTTGCACTCTGTCCTGTCCTCTTGCACTCTGTCCCCAGAAGAGCCACAGGGGCAACATTTGTCCATGGAAAGCTCTGGCACAAACTCTCTGAGCTGGGACTGAGGTCTCAGGTGATCTGTAGCCTTTAGCCATGTGGTTTTTGAGATCTTCTTCCCTGATACAGTGTCTGAGTACACTTCTACTTGTAAAAAGGCCAGTGGAGCCAGAACTCTGAAATGGCCAGGAAGAAGGAACAGGCTTTAGGCAAAGCAGAAGCACTCAACTGAGAGCCAAGGAAAAATTCAAGTTTTTTTCATACCACCAATGATCCTGGCCTGTTGGATTCTGAAACGCATGTCCACATTTAGAGAATAATTTGGAAAAACATAGGCACTACAGCATTCTGTTAACATCTAAGACTGTCAAATAGGATGCTGCGGCCAGTTAAACATCCATTCTTTCTCCCCCATAGGATTGTTAATATCTGTGTCAGTGGTTAGGCAACACCTCATAGCTTTGCAGATTGGAGGTGTTTTGCCCTTTGGCCATCATTGTTGCCACAGATACTTCTTCAACTCCTCTAAGATTCTTCAAGGCTACAAAACTACAAAATAAGACAGAAGCCTCTTAAAATAGGAGGAATGATAAGACTAGGATGACAGACAGCAGACCTAAGGAACTAACCAACCTAATCTTCACAAAGTACATTTGTCCTCATTCATTAGCAGGAAAACTGTTTCTGGGAAAGAGGATCTTACAGATACACTTCCCTAAGGCTCCTGGAGAATTTCCAGGACAAAACTTGAGGGACCAGATCTTATCAGCTTTAAAACCTCGGAGATTTAGGGGAAGCAATTGTTAATTCCTGGCCAACCAGCCCTTCTACATCACTTCCCTCCAACACAGGTGCCACAAAGCACCCCACACCTGAGACTGTTCCAGAAAATTTCTGGTTGTCTTATTAGACAACCTTCTAGAGAGAGAGTCCTGATCCGCCATCCCTGAGAAAGCAGAAATAGCACACCCAGTTCCATGGTATTCCCTGCTTCACGAATCACTGAGCAGACATATGTAAAATACACATGTGGATCCAGGACACAGGCTCTGCTCTCAGCACACATCCACGGATCCCTGAAAGTGCTTAGTTAAGGACAGTTCAGAGGAAAGTAGCAACCATCTCCCTCACTAAGGCAGTCTGAAGGCCAGAGCTGCATAGGGCTCCTTTCTCTGGCCTGGCTAACCCTGCCATGGAGGGATGGATAGGGATAGGAAAGACTGGTTCACATGCTAGGGGCCAGGTGAGAAGGGCTGGAGGAGGCTGGGTGGGCAATTGAACATGCAACATCTGTTCAATCAGATTCTAAGAACATTTGGTTGACTGGTATGTGGCACACCCTGCAGACATACCTAGAGCAAAAGAGCAAAATGTCTATGCAATTAGGTAATACAGGAGCAGTCTTTACCTTGGTGTCAAACCAGCCTGATTTATTTTTGTGGATGAGCCCCTTCCTCTTCAATGATCTACAGTCCTGAGCAGTTTCCCCTTACTCTATTCCATGACTAGACTCAACACATACTTCGTGAAACCCCTGGTTTAGTATAAGGAGCCTATGTCTCCCACGGAAGGGTCTTGATTCTCTTGTAGATGACAGGCTTGTGACAGGGAGCCAAGCTAATGATTCAAACAGTAAAGCTCATTGAAGGGCAGCTGCCTCTCTCTCTGCCCCTGTTCTTCCCCCTCAAAGCCCTGCACATGGACTCAGAGTCATTCGCCAAGACCCCCATTACGAAACTACCAAAGGGCCCAAAACTTAGCTCAGTGGTTCCACCGCCCATCTAGCAAGCACAAGGTCCAGAGTTCGATCCCCAGTACCACAAAAAGAAAGAAAGAAACTACCAGAAATGGCACTCCTGCATCCCAACCCCACTGGGCTCTATTCCCAGTGCAGTCAGCCTCCTGGACCACCAGAGGCATTGCTGGGAAATGCGGACAGAGAGGGGCCAATGCTGTGTGTAAGACCCCGTCACTTAACAGCTTGAGCACCCTGGGGTCCTATCCAGAGATGGGACCTGCTTACCCCACAGCCAGGTATAGAACTTGCAGGTGGGAACTAGTGTTAACCCATACAGGGCTGACACGTGCAGCAGAGCCATCAGAATGACGTTTCTCCAGACAAACTCCAGCTTGGGCACAGGACCCTCCTCATCCTCATAGTTGGGGTCGCGAAAGTCATCTTTCATTTCAGGACGAATGTCTTCTTCTGAGTAGAGGGCCATTTTCTCCACCTTCTCTCCATTCTGCAGGCCGCCAGAGGGAGGCGCTGAGATGGTGGTGGTGGTCGTGTAGGACCTGGAGATCTGGAAGGAGGAAGGAGGAGGGGCACAGAGCCCCCTTTCTCAGTACAGTAGCTGGGGCAAGGGGCAATATGGGCAGCCAGGTGATGTGAGGGTGGGATGTACCCTAAAACTGAAACTGAGGGAAGTTTCCCAAAACTGTGCAGTTTGTGAGCGTGACACTCGGTGAAGGGATAGAAGGGAAAGTAAAAACACCAGCACCACTGCAATACGTAGAGGATATCTCGCGTGTAAACATACAGATACTGGCACGACTGCTTTTTTCTTTACATTTAAGAACATTTAAGGAATAAAACTTGGGAAATCACATATCCTGTTAATAATCTCGTACTAACTGGAAGCAGAGCAGCCAAATGAAAACAGAGCGACTCCAGAAACAAGACCAAATCCTCCTAGAGCTCTCAACTCTCTCCCAAGCAGTCGCCTAGAAGCCAATCAGTGCTCGCTAACTGTGGACTCAGGCCGTTCCCAGGAAACTCACCTCCCGCAGCATGTGAGCAGAAATTCTGGCTCTCGAAGGCGGAGACTCAGTTCACTGGGCTGAGACCGCTGAGCGGATTCAGACTACAGGCGCCGAGAGGGACCTACTTTGTTTCTAAAGCTCTCCTGTGCGCGAAGGTCCCGCGAGCCGCGTTCCGAACCCTTCGTGCGCCTTCCACACACTACGAAAGTCCCGAGACCGAAACTGCCTTCCGTGAATGTCCCACAGCTAGGTTTTTAAGGCTACCGCCAGCAGTGACGTAATTATAACCTGTTTTTCGTAGGTCCGTTCTATTTATTAAGAAAGAGGAACAAAAATCACACACTGGCAGAGGCAGCCAAGCGTGGAAACGAATGCAGGAAAGAGGTGATCTAACGCTTTTTAATGCACTACTCTTGGACTGGGATATTGTACTCGCCTACTCCGCGCACCCCCACCCACACCCAGAGGGAAATGCTAATTAGGCTTCCTCAATTCTGGGTTATCATTGGTCAGGGGGAATTTGGTGCCACCTCGTACTGCTTCTGCCATTGGCTAGGCACAATCTGCTGTTTCCAAAGACGCCCGATTCTTACTCCCCCTCCCCTCTTTTTCTGCCTTTGACCTCTCACTAACAAGCCACTGGGCCTAGGGTTTGTATCCTGACAATCTGGCCCTCATCCTGGGAGAGAGGACCCAGTCCAATAGAGAAGTTTCGATCCTAGCTTGGGCCCCTAACACACAGAAAAGATGCACAAGAAACAGTGGAAAACCCACCATAGCACCAAGTACAATTCCATTCTTTCTTCCCATTCCCCTAGTCACGTAGGAGGGGAAGCTTGACTTGCACTACCAATAGCAGTGCAGGGCATTGACCCTGGGCAGTCAGTCATTTAGGCCCACCCACCTGCTCCAGGATGCTAATCCTAGCCCACTAGGAGCTCAGTTCACATAATTACACTTGGCACGGAGCTGTAGACCTGCACATGCGCACCACGCTCAGTCACTAGACCAGCTCTTGAGAGAACCACCAGCTCTAGGTACCAGTGGACAATCTTATGCCCGTGCCCACCGCTCCAGGACGTTTTAAGAGATTCTTCTGCCCATGAGGTTGAAATTTTAGAGTCTTCTCTACAAGGAAAGAGCAGAAAGCACAGACTGGTGTTTTCACCTAGCTGAATGTCACTAGTGTTTGGAATAAGAGCAGAAAGCAGAGCAGATACTGTGGTTTGTGCCTGTAATCCCGGCACACTGGAAAGCTGAGACAGCAGAAGTGCAAGTTTGATCCCTGCCTAAAGACTTAGCAAGACCTTGTCTCAAAATAAAGTAATGATAATGATAGTTTTTAAAAAGGTATGGGATGTAGCTCAGTGTAAAGGTCCTAGGTTCAATTCCAGTACAAAAAGAAGAGGTGCTGGGAAACAGAGACCATGATTCATGCAAGCCAATTCACAAGAGTTCTTTTCTTAACCTTCACTGTGACCTTGTGATATGGGTACCCCGTGATTATATCTTCAAAAGGAGAAAAATAGGATACAGAGCGATAAAGAACTTGCTCATGGTCAAGGCAGGCAGGCCTTGAGCGCAGAAATGTGACGTTGGTGCCCAAATTGTTAGCCCCAGCCCAGAACTATTGCTCAGGGACCCTGAGGGGCTCGGACCTCACAAACCTTTCCCTCATAGCCCCACCTGTTCCTCTCCAAATACTATCACATTAAAGATTAGGTTTCACATGTGAATTTGGGTGTGAGGTTATAGACTTTAGTGCATTGCATTCCTCCAGGGATTAAGGATTACTTTGGGGGATTTGGGATTTAATTATGAATTTAGGGCTTAACTGAAGATGGCTCTACCTTTGTGGCCAACTTGAACTTGAGAGGAGATGGCCACAGACTTAATACTACAAATGTTTCATCACAGTCAGCAAACCATTTCCTGTATAACTTAGAAAAATTCCTTTCTCACTTTTTCTGGATTAAATAAATATCAAGTATGAACCTTTTCAATGAGGAAAAACATTACAGGTTAGTGTAAGCAGTTATTCCCTATCATTCTCAGACAAAAACATTAGGGTTTTTCATTTATGTGGTTTTGTGCTACCAGGGACCAAACCCAAGAACTTGCACTTGCACTATTGCTGTACAAAAGAAGTATTTTCTGATGTGGAATTAACATTACTGTAAACTGACCTCATTTTCTCCATAATGAAAGTGAATCAGTTACTCTTTCTGTTCCTCTTCTCTAGCTTTATCACTTTCCCTCTGCTTCTCTCTCCTTGTCCTGCCCTGGCCTCTCCTCTTCCTGTCCTCTATTGAATGGGGTACATACCTTCAAGGGAGGGAGCAGCTGCCTGGGAGGAGGGCAGCCCTGCTTGAGGTGCTGCCATCTAAGCAAGTGAGGGAGCTTTGTGCAGGGCAGCCTAGCACTGATTCTGGAGCCTGAGTGCCTGTAAGGAGAGCACCCATACGGAGGGGCAACGCAGTGTGTGCTGTAGAATCCTAAGGGCACTGAGGATGGCCTCTTTGGGGAAGAACAGGATATTTCCACATCTCAAAATATTTTCCCGTTAGAAGGGGTGAGGGGCCAGGGCTGGCAGCCTGCTCTGCTCACACCAACATTTTCTAACTGCGGAACTCTGAACAGTATGAGAATTCTGAGTTGTAGCCTTCAAGGTTAGAACGGCATATATATTAAGATAACAAGAAAGGAAATAATTTTAATCAGTTTTTGGTTTGGTGGTTTGGTTGGTTGGTTTCTGTATTTATTTTGACTTTGCTGTCGTTGTTTGTTTGAGGTAGGGTCTCCTTATATAGTCCAGGCCAACCTTGCACTCATGAAATCTAGGCTGGCCTCAAATTTTTACAATCCTCCTGCCTCAGCCTCCCAATTGTTGGGACTACAGGAATGCACCACCACACCCAATGGACATAATGTCATTTTTTTTTACACTTTGTTAGCTTGTTTTATACACCCATGCATGTTGTCATTCTTTGTTTCTCTGGCTGAGGCCCAGCAAATAGTAAGGTAGGGCAGTTCAAAATCCCCCTGATAACTTTGTTTTCTATCTTATTCTTCTAAAGAAAGAAGTTAAAAAAGTGGAAATCCAAAAGCCCCGTGGGCCCATCTGTATCTTGTGTTACAATATCATAAATTGCTGGTAAACATTTCATAAGCCAATTTGGCATGCCCAGGAATAATTCAAATCTGGGAAGAGCCAGTATATGCCAAGCAGTCACTTTAAAACCAAATGTCAGCCACCAAAGATGGCCTGACCTGGGTACGATAAATGACCTCAAGGAAGTTAATGTGTGTTTCTTTGTTCCCAGAAAGTAAGCAAGTTTGTTATAGGAAGGAAGCAGCATCATTTATGCAGCTGGGACCCAGGACTTCTGCCTGTCCTTCAGTCACACAGAAGTCCAGCTCCGTGCTCTTATCCAAGTACAACATAAATAAAGGAAGGAAGGAAGGAAAAGAAAGAAAGAAAAAAAGAAAGAAAGGAAGGCAGAGAAAGTTTAGCTTGTAAATAATGTATCCATTCAGGAGATTTGAGAGAAATACTTGGAAGATGAAGAGAAAATAATGGGTCAAAATATTTTTTAATGTCAGAATTGAAAAACATACTTTTCTAGATAGAAAGGATCCAAAGAATACTCCTGATAATGCATGAGACTGCATCCATAGCAAGGCACGTCGTAATGGAATTTTGCGAATACTGGAGAGGTAACTTGAAAACACTCTCATAAGACTGATGCAATATGTGCTTCTCCAAAATAGTGCAGTAAATCAAGAAAAAGGAACACAAAGGATCCAGGAACAGAGGCTCCAACATAGGAGAGAAGCAAATGCTAGAATGATGCTGCTGAGAATTTGCAAACAGGTCAGACAGCATGTGATCCAGAGTCCAGCAGTTGAGAAAGACCCAGTAGAGATTACTTGAGGACAATGTGTAGCTTTCACTGAGCATAAAGGACAGGGCTACTTTTACCTAAGGTTATTTTTATTCAGAAAATTACCATTTATGTTTCAAATTCTAGGATATTTCTTTGTTTATTCACAGGTTATTCTACTGCTCTAATTCAAAGGCTGGTCCATGACATACATAAGTGAACATCTTGGAAGATAAAGTTGGAATGGCGCTGGTTGACCAGGTATCACCATCTGTTTATCACCCAGTACTCACTTAGGAAGAGTGTCTTTAAATTAATTCAAAACAAATATCTCACTCTCTCCTAGGCTCTTACTTTGACAACCCTCATGTTTCTCAGACAGAAGGCATGCTGATCCTATTTTCAATTAAACAAAAATAGAAGAGGTATTTAAAATCTTGGAAGAAAGGATTGGATTTCAAAAACTTCTCAATGGGTTCCATAGTTAGAACTAGCAAATAAGGAAACCCTCAAGTACCATGCACATGTCCAAAACATTCATCTCACAAACAGAATGGGGAAACCTTAGCTTCATAGCTCATGTGAAGAGGGTGTGAGTGTCATAGAATTTACTGCACACCACGCTGTATCGGTCAGTTCACAAGTGTTTGATGAGGACCTGCTACGTGTCTAGTAGGAGGAACCTGCTTTTGCAGGTAGAGAGCAAATGGAAGAACACAAGGATATTATAACAGGTGGGCAGATAACACACACAAAAGTGATGAAGGTGGTATTTGTAACTGCATTTAAATGGTGTTTCAACTTATCCTGTCCAATATTCATATCGCCTCTTTCCACTTCATAGGTAACCTAGAAGGCAGTAAGTCAAAATAATCCTCATGTTAAAGATGGGAAAACAGAGGCTCAGAAAATGTAAATTTCATTTGAGCAAGGCAAAGCACAAACAGAACACTAAAGGATGGATAGAAGGGGACAAGGAGATGGACCTCTTGCAATAGGGAAGTGGTGGAAGGGAAAATGTGTGAAGGGAGTAAAGGGGAAGGGGAAATAAAAGTAGAAGAAAGACACACCATGTACAGGAACCTAATAACCTCAGTCAATGTCAACATTATATGCCATAATATAGGATTGAAAAATGGGATGGGAGAATTGGAAGAGGATGGAATAAAGGAACTTTAAAAAAAAGGAAGGAGCTGTCATATGTACCTGTAATGGCTCCTCAGGATGACTGCAAACTGTATGAATTGCAAACATGTTCCAGTAAAATAAAGAAAAAAGGAAATGTAATCAGGGGTTCTCAAACACATAGCTCTCTGGCAGGAGATCTAGCTCAGTGCTCCTGAGTCTGCCTGGCAAGCCCAAGTCCCAACTTTGATCCCCAGTACTAAAAGAAAAACAAACTGACAAAAAAACACGTAGCTCTCAGAATCCCTTTATTCCTTAAAATCATTGAGAAACCGTATATCATATAAAAATGAAATCAAAATGGACTGACTTAAACATGAGCTATAATTATAAAAATCTTAAAACGAAGTGTAGATCTTTATGAC